ACAAATCTTTTATGGTCCACGTTGATCGATTCAGTATTGATTGACTACTTTCCATTATTTTGTTTTAGTGTTCATGCTTACAAACCGTTATATTTTTATTATATTATTAATTGAAAATGAAGCGTATGCATTATTCATTACTAAACGAATGAAATAAAGCTGATAAGGGTCTTGGTTGACGACGCGGGGCGAACTAGTGCGTGATGCCCTTTGTTTTGATATGAAGTAAAACTATATATATGAAATCGATTGAATAATAAAATAAATAATGGAAGCATTATCTAAATACCTATAATTTTTTTTTGCTCTGTTCAAAAAAAAAAAAAACGAGGAAAACCTAAAATGTAAATTAAGAAAATCATTTAAAACGCAGCACACCGAACAAATTTCAAATAAATTCAAGGTAGAAATTTAATGAAAGTAAAAAAAAAGAAAACACATAATTTTACAAAAATATAACAATTAGTAATTTTCATGTACCTTTATAATAATTAATTATAATAAAATGCCAAGTATGCTTACATATATTATATATACATGTATGTATGTATGTATCATATCCGCAAATGATTGTATATAAATAAGGTAGTAATAGCGACAAAGTAAATTAAAAAAGAGATGAAGCATAAAAAAATTTGATAAAAATAATAATAATTACTACAAAGATTTGAAAATTTATATATAATATAATAATGAATTTATAATTTACGTGAATAAATCCTTACATAAGCATGCGTACGTAGTTAAGCTGATGTTTATATAAAAATGTAACGCATTGACAACACACATTTGAATTTATGGCTGTTTCAAGTTTTAATAGAAAATGAAATTAATTTAAAAATTGGAAGAAAATTAAACACAAGTATTTTGAAATTATTAGAAAAATTAATGAAATACATAATTGAAATACAAACGCACACACACACACACACACACACACACACACTATGGGAGACAGACAGACAGACAGACAGATAAACAGATAGACAAAGAGATAGGCAGACGCAAACACAGACGGATAAATAGACAGACACAAATACACGCGCATGCTATCACGCATACATAGCTATAAATGGAAACTCATGGTTACGCTCCAAAATATAGAAATGAAAGACATTTGAAATCCCAAAGATAATCATCATTAAATAATAATAACAATCATTTTAATAGCATTTGACGTCCTTTCACACATACACTTATACCTTTCTCACAAAACATTCTCTTAATGACGTTATTACGATAAAAAATATATATTATATTCTTATTCCTGTATATACATGTAAAGTAACTTTTGTCATTTTACTATTTTCACTGGCATTATTAAGAACAATAAACAATAGCAATAACAGTAAAAAATTATCATAATAATCGAGAATATGAAATAAATTTATTAAACAACGATAACATGTAATCATCATCATTATACTACAAATATAATTTTAACATTTTTTTTTCTTTAGAGAATTACCTCATTACCTATCTATAGACCAGTTAGTATATCTTCCCTCATATTTGCTAATATTATCAACGATTGTTCAAAAAAAAAAAAAAAAGTAAAAAGCAAAACGAAAAAGATATTTTTTCCATTAAATCTCCCATAACATGTAATATTGACTATGTGTGTAAATTATACTATATATGTATGTGAAAAAATAGGAAACAACAAAAAAAAAAAAAAAAAAAAAAGAAATGAAAAGAAAAAAATTAAAAGAAGTAATAAATAACAAGCAGTTATGTAGTACGTATTCATACTTATGTGTAAAATTTAATTCAATTCTTTATCTTCCCTTGTGTATGTATTTATGTATATTACATTTTATTATATTACATATTACGTAAGTGTGTGTATCTAACATTTTTCAAAGTAGAAAGAAATACTTTGCAAAAATAGTTTAATGGGAAGCATTCAAAAAGATTCCAATATACGAGTATAATTATGAAAAGATAATCAAACGAGAAAAAAAAAAAATAAAAAGAAATAAATAAATAAAAAGTCAATGATAAACATCAAATGTATAAATATAAAATTAATTGAATGAGTTGTTTCTTTTTTGCTTTTGGTTTTTTCAAAAAAGCTTTGCCTGTCAAATAAGCGGGAGAAAGTGATAGCGATAGATAGATAAGTAGATAGATACATAGAGAGAGGAAGAGAGTCAGGAAAGAAAGTCAAGGGCTTATCGTTTGAAACTATTCACCACCTTTTCAAAGTATTCCTTAGGATTGATTCGCTGTCACATATCGCGAAATCATGGGTCGGTTTATGACTTTCGACATCGTATGCGCACGCGACCCGACCATCTTTTTCGGCAGTGTTGTTTTGTGATTGCATATGAATCGACTGCTGCCGAATCGCATGAAGTTTTTTAGTCGAGACAAAAACAGCGATGCATTTGTAATATCATTGGTCAATGAATAGCAATATACACGCAAATAAATGCAAGAAAGAAGAAGAAGAAAGTAAATAATTGAGTAAACAAAAAAATAATGCAAATACAGTCAAACCTGTTTTTGTGCGGTAGATAGGGACCGCAGAAAAAAAACCGCACAAAAAAAAATATTCAAAAACTTCATAAATAGCTATAAGAAATAATTTTTCACAGCATATTAAAGAAAATTTTTTTTATGCGGTAGAGAGGGACCGCATAAAAAAAGTCTCACTTAGAAAATATGTCAAAATTTCACGAAATAGCAAGATAGTGCTTTTAAACAAAATAAATAATTAAATTACACATTGAAACATGTAAAAAAATTTTAATTTTTAATTTTAAACAAGGAGAAATTTTCAAAATGTACATAATTCAATACTACTCGTCGTAGTTCAAAACGCGCATATTTTTGCGATGAACTGGTTCGTAATCGCTTTCGTCACTTGAAGATACTACAGTTGATTTATTTTTTGTTAACATGTATGATATTCTTTTACCACTTTCGTTTGTTGCAGAATTTTTAGATTCATTTATTCTACTTGCACGTTTTTGTATTGCTCTTATACTGGATTCACCTAATTTATATTCTTTACCAAGAGCTGTGGATCCTTCACCATCTGCTAGTCTATTTAATAATGCAATTTTAGTTTCTAATGTAATTGTCTTTCTTTTCACTTTTTTTTGGTTACGATTATTCATTTTAAGGGAGTTCTTATGACGAAAAATAAAATAAAAATCATAAAAGACTATATCTAAATAGGGAAAACAATTAATTTACCTTTAATCTCACTATAAAATTAATCCTGTCTTAATGGTTAAAAGGTCAGCAATTAACTAAAGTTATTAGATGGCGCAGTATGTATTGAAATTGGCTGATGCAATATATGCATAAGAACATTGAGCATGCCTAATGAAATAGTCTGATGCAATAGGTATGAAAATGGCTGTTGCAATGTGTACATACACACTGATAGCAAAAAAAGTGATGCCAACGCAGTTCAGATTGACCTAACCTCTCGGCGAAATTCAATGTGTCGATATTCATATACCGCACAAAAAAAAATCGCACAAAAAGAATCGCACAAAAAAAGATCGCACAAAAACAGGTTTGACTGTATATTATTTTGAATTTATATATATTTATTTCAAACATATTTTTGCAATTCTTCAATTCTTCTTTGAATATTGCCTAAAAATTTTGCAGTTTATTTCAGAAGGCAGAGTTACTCATAAGCAAATCGAAAAGTCAATAGTAAAAGAATCGAAAAGTGAATCGTGAAAGTTGAGTTAAGTGAGTTGAGTTAAAATATTCGAACGGACAAGACCAGAATGAGAATTACAGCGTTGTAAATACAAATTCCCGTAAATATTTTGTAAATAGATTTTCTAAGTTTCTAAATAAAACCTGTATTATCCTAAAAAAGACAATTCGTGAAAGACGGATTTAGGTTACGTATTAAATATAAGCTATTTTCCTCTCTTTGCCCTCTTCTGAATATGCTATTTGACACCAATCTTCTTGACACTGACACAAATCATATACATGGCTAGCAGCCGTAAGTTTTCTACTCGACGAGATAACTCGACAGCCATGAATAGAAATGTAAAGATTACCGCCAGTTTCTTAGCACTTTCTCCCAATTGAAAACACATCATTTCAATATCAATCATTACTTTCGGTGATGAAAATTTGAACGCAAGCAAGTTTTTCACAAGCAGGAGAAAAAACAACCGGTTTACCGGTAGTGCAGTGAATGGCTTGTTAATGCAACTTTTGAGAGCTTAAAAAGTTCACGAACAGTTAGTTGTTAGTTGCGAGAGAGCTCGCTTTGTTGTATTTCTAAGTTCAACGTTGTTTATCGTTTTTCTTATTTCGCTAAAGGAATCTCCGGCAAATAAATATTTGTGGAGTTGAATACTACACAACTTTTAGTCGTTGAGCGTTTTGTTAAGATTATTCTTTGAATTTCTGAAGTATTTTTTTCCCACATTTGAAGTGAAGCATTTTCATAAATAAGTTAAGAATTATCTGAGCTTTACGATAGGACACATGAAAAGTCTACCAGTTCAATAACCCTTAAAAAACGGTAAAAGGTGATTTGCGCATTATTGGTGGGTTGATGTTGAACAAAAATTGCAAAGAAATTTTTGTCTATTTGTCAACTTTCAAATTCTTATCTCAATTTTTGCACATCCATAACTTCCCTACGACAAGCTCATTGACTTACCAGCGGGTATTGTAAAATTAATTCGGCAGCTTACACTGATTAGAAAGATAGATATATTCTACATTTTCCTTAATGTAAATTTCTATAAATATGGCTTTTAGATATTATTATTATTATTATTTTAATTTTAGACTAATGAATTGAATTCTTAGACTAAAAAAAAGACATTGAGCACTAGCAACACAGGCTATCGGCTCTTGGCTTTTAGATAATACTTACTAGAAAACTTGTACCGTAGAAAATCTATTTTAACTAATAATTGTTTTTGGGAAGCGAATTGGTGGTAAGCCATTTTTTTTGAACACAAAAAAAAAAGAAAAAGAACACCACATATATATGGCATTAATTTTAATTGGTTTTGTTGTTTTTTATTAGTAAGTATTAAACGTTACATTGATCGACAATTCCTTCGGGCAGTGGATTGTTTTTACAAAAAGTACTGAATACACTATATAAAGGAAATTCATATATCATTAAATGCAAAAGGATCTCTAATGAAATTTAAAACATAATAAAAATAAATGCAATATTTTCACTTAACGTTCAAATAACGAAGTTTTGTAATGTTTTTTACTTTGCCCATTACCACATATTACCGTATAGATATGTAGACAAGTACGCTTTTATATAAAATGGCTATAAAAGTAGTGGTAGGCTAAACCATTTTTTTTTAATATTAATAATTTTTGAATTGGTTTTTTGGATGAATTGAATGAAATAGCAAATCATTAACATTTGCCGTTTGTTGGAGCTTTTGGACGACACACTTTACTACGGCCATTAGCACCGTAGACAATATTACAGGAAAATGTGAAATAGCCACAGGTGGATGATTTTGTATAATACGTTGATTGGAAATTTTTATTGTCTTGTGGTGGATTTTTGGAATTATCTAAACTTCCGGTAATTGATTTTGTAACTGTCACAAAGCTATCCGGTGTTCTCAGTTTGGTTATAGATTTTTCATCAGCAATCGTCGTATTGGTTGCGTTTGCTTTTTCATCGGTTTTGTGTGATCCGAGTGCCTTGGTATGATATTTTTTTTCGACATTTACAGTACCTCGGAAACCGCTAGGCACACTCTCTGTAGTGCTGCGTGACGAATAAGTTTGTACCCGACCATTTTGATTTTGGACAACAGTATACTTTTTATTTGAATTGACGACAGCGGTTTGCTGCACTTGTGTCGGCGTCTTTTGAGTGTGAGTACGATATGACGTAACAGAGTCGGGTCGCGAGCTTTTCGTGTCGTGACCAATGTTTTTTTGCTTTTGTGTTAAACTATTTGATTTTGAATCCATTTTAATTGGAGTCTCATTGTAGTATTCGTCTTCGTCATCATATTCATCATAGGGCTCTTCATCATCATCATCAGCCAAATTCGAATCGTCATCATCCAACTTATTTATATTGGACACTATGTAAATAATAGTGGTACTTGAGTCTTCAATATTACATTGCACAAGAAATATTGCAAACCTTTTTTGATAGTTTTTGAAGTCTTCAATTGTACATCCGGAATAGCATCAGATTCGGATGCTAATGCTGTAGGACTATACATGGTATCAACTCGATCAGTAATTCTGAAAATTAATATATTATGAGTTTCATTAATCATTTAATCAAATTTAACAATATTACGCGTCGGCGCCTCCAAACTGACTTATGGTGTTAAAGAGGTGACGGTTTTGTTCCCGGTAACTGGCTACTTGCTCTTTGGTTCCCGAAGCGGACTGTGCTGCGCCATGATAAGACACGCCGAATCTGGGAGAAATGTATTAAAAGAGACAAACGTATTTAGAGTCTTTTGCTTACTTAGATCGTCCCTGAATTTGAGATTGACTTTGTCCAGAATGTGTTCCAGATTGAGCTGAAGCTTGCCCCCCTCCAGCAGACTGAACTACTTCGCCATCTTGACCCGGACGAAAACCAATCTGAGCTTGCGAACTTGTTTGACCAGGTCCACTAGACTGCGCATCAGCCAAGCCACCCTTGTCATTTGCTTGCACCTGTGATTATAATTATTTCAAGTTATTGTGTACAAATGTCGAAACGGGCTGATATTATTTACCTCACTTTGACTTTGGTGTATGAGGCCACCACTCTGCGATGACGATTTAGTACCGCCAGTTTTTTCATTTACTTGGACTTGTGCTTGAGATTGGGCGACGCCACCTTGACCTTGAGCTTGGCTCATAGCACCTTCAGACCCACCACTAACTTGTGAGCTAGCGGAACGGTCGTTATCTGACGTCATAGCGCTAGCTGTAAAGGAGCCTGATGAGCTGTATGTTCCTTGTACTTGCGTTTTTGCAGTTCCTCCATTTTTCTTTCCTTGAGCACTTGCAACTGCTTGGCCGTTATTAATTGAGGATTCTGCTTGCGAAAATGCATCGTCTGTTCCTGCTGAAACCAATTGTTGTGGCGGAGTTACATAAGGCGAACCATAAGGAATGGTGCCACTTGCACTAGGACGCGATTCAATGCCGTAGGAGGGACCATGGCCAGTACTTGGTTGAACGTAAGTAGGTACAGTTCCAATTTGTGTGCTTGGTCGGTAACCAGAACTTGGTTGGATTCCAGCTCTACCCGATTGGTCGTAGCCTTCACCTGTTGCAGTTTGCAACCCAGTTGATGGACTGTAAATTGTTCCGGTTCCTCTTTGATCGTAGCTGACATCAGATCCGCCAAATTGTTGTGCTCCACCGCTACCTGGTTGCATAACAATGCTGCTGGGTGGATGTGCAATAGCCCCTCGTGATAAATCATATCCAGCACCCGGTTGAACAACACTAGGGGTTTGGGGTAGATAATCAGTTGAAGTTTTGATTTGATGTCCATAGTCTGGCACTCCATAAGGAGGGACCGCGGGTTTGTGATCGTACCTAACACTGGGTGGAATACTGGGTCCAGGCTGTATACCGATTCCAGGCTGCACACCGATTCCAGGCTGCATACCTATTCCAGGCTGCACACCGATTTCAGGCTGCACACTAATTCCAGGCTGTATACTAATTCCAGGCTGAATCCCGGCTACAGGCGGAATCTGCACTCCCGGCAGCACACCAGTTCCTGGTTGCAAGACCGTTCCCGGTTGCATGCTGATTCCAGGCTGCACCGTGATTCCGGGTTGAATTCCAGTAACAGGCTGACTACCTGTGTGAACTTGAGTTCCATGTTGGGAGCTTGAAGGATAACCTGGCTGTACTGACGACCAAGGTTGCGAGCCAACCCCAGACTGAGGTTTAATACCGGACTGCTTGTCAATTTCAAGTTGAGTAGTGGTGCCATAACCTGCTCCGGGTTGCATTGCACCAACAGTAGGTGCCTGAACGCCCGGTTGAATGCTTGGATGTCTAAATTCGGGTTGTGGATACCCAATGCTTGGTTGACGCGCATGTGCTGGTTGAACGAATCCACGCCCGGGTTCAACTCCAGGTCCATGTTGAGTAAAACCTGCTCCTGGTTGACCAACTCCTACCCCTGGTTGAGCAAGATTTACCCCTGCTTGAGAAACTCCCGCACCTTGTGGAATAAATTCTCTTCCTGGCTGAACAAACCGAGTGCCGGGTTGAGACAGTCCTGTTCCAGGTTGAGTGAAGGCTGTTCCCGTTTGAACGGCGGGAGCAAATACACTTCCTGGTTGACCTGAGGGCATAAATTCACTTTGGGGTCGTCTATCCATATCTTGCGGAACTCCTACTCCAAATGGTGGCTGTATTACGGCTCCTGGACGTCTTCCAATTTCAGGTTGGATTCCTGCTGTACCCGGTTGACTTCCGAACTGCGCTTTTGCTTCTATAGCATCTTTAAAACCTCCTCGATGATCATAGCCTGTATCTGGTTGTTGGCCTGGTTGATCAAATGTAGCAGTAGGCCTTAGTGCAGTTGAGCTCGGCGTGCCTGGATGTGTCAGCTGTTGAGGTCCCGGTCTATAATCCATTCTTGATTGAGGCCCCGGTTGCTGACTATAAAAACCGGACCCTGGTTGAGGAGGGATGTCAGGTTGGCTAACATGTGGTTGTTTAACGGCTACTTGACCAACAGTTTGTTCGCCGATACCGATCTGCTGCATGCCAGCCCCTGGGATATATATAGCTGGTTGACCGACTGTTCCGAGCACAGGCCGTTGCATATGTCCAGGAACGAAGCCACCATATTGATCTACAAGTTGTTTATTAAATTGTTTAAAATGAATTTCTTAAAAATTATATTACTGGAAATCTACCTGCTGTTTGACCAGAGCTAGGTCTATATACTGGTGTTGGATGTCCAATAGTCGTGTCTGGCGATTGCCCACCGCGTTGTGTCACCTCGCTAGGGGTTCGATAAAAGGTTTCTCCAGGTGTGCCTGGTTGAACAACACCAGGACCATAAGTAGGGCGATGCCTGTCTGGCTCTGTTCCAAAAGATGGAATTCCAACAGACGGTCTACTAGGCTGGAAAATTCCAGCTCCAGTGGTAGAAGGAAGAGCAGCGGGCCCACTCGGCTGACCAAAGCCAGGACCATAAATTAAAGGTTGCTGTCCAACTTCCGGTCCAAACGGTGGTCTTTGTTGCTCACTGGGTCCACGTGGTGGTATTTGCTGACCTCGATGCGCTGGTTGAATGGCAATGCTGCTAGGTTGTACAGTTAGCGGCCCTTGAGGACGACTACTTACAGGACTTGGTCTTACAGACGGCTCTGATGGAAACCGTTGATCAGCTTCATAAGCTGGACCGGAAGGCTGCATAAAGCCTTGTCTGGCCCCATAACCTGGTGCAGACGGTTGTCCGCTAATTGAAAAAGGTTGCGCAGGAATTCCAGGCCCATAATGTTCTATTAAAATAAATCACAATAAAAACCTTGCACGATGCCAACAAAAACAGTGGAATGCAGTGTAATTAAAGATCATATTAATTGTGCAGTGCTACCTAGTGGAATTGTTGCAGGACGTTGCCTATCTGTTTGTTCTCGTCCTTGCTCCCTTACACCCGGTTGGACTCCAGGTGTATATCTAGATGGTTGGAGACTGGGGACTTCACTTTCAGAAGAGGGAATCGAATCAGTGTAATAGCTGGGTAATTTTCCAGGAGCAGTCATTTGACCAGGTCGTTGATCGCCTGGAGTCTTTGTCCCTCTTCCGTGTTCCCCAAACTGGCTAATTCCGGGTCTTAATCTTGTACCTATGACATTAAGTTCTACAATAAAGAATAAGTTACAAAAAAAACAGCTGAATAACCTGGCCCTTCTACCGCGCCAGTAAGTCCAGTCACTGCTTGAGGTTTGCCACTAATGTAACCTTGACCGGGCTGAAAGCCTCCAGTAACAAGAGGTCCACTCGGTGGAGGCTGAAGAACACTTCCGCTTAATGTTAATGGGTCCGGAGATCCCGGTGGGTACTCTGAAGAGGTCATTCAATTAGGTATTATTAATACTAAAATAAAGTTCTTCGAACTTTTCAGTTAATTGTTTACCATAAATCGTTCCCGGACATTCACTACAGTCGCCCATTGAGAATTGGCTTTGAGCTTGTCCCATACCGTGAGTACCAGCTGTGAGCAGAAAAAGGGATTCTAAGACTTTACAAAGAAAATTCAAACAAAAATATTATTATAGCCTTACAAACAGTTGATCTTGAGCCACTTTCATTGGCTTCTGCCTCTGCTTTTCCATCAATTTCCGGTTTGCCAAAATTTAAGTACTGTGACTGAGTTTGGCCGCGCATGCTACAAAAACAAATATATTAGATTGTGTAAGCCGTGAATTTTTAAATAAATTCCATTTTTTTCATCACTTACTAGCCTCTGCCGCTACGTTTTGTTCTTTGCACATCAAAGGGATAAGTAGATTCAATGTGGTCGCCATTATTATTCAATGAACTCTGTAAAATAAATAAAATACCGTAAAATGATTACAAGCAATCACAATTGTTTAAAACGGGAGTGGCAGCGTGACTTTTTAGTTTTATGTAAAATAACAGAGGCTATTTAAAAAACATTTTCGCATTTCATAGAAATTAGCGATTGAGCGGAAACTTGAGATTTATTGGTTTTGGTTCACCTTCGATGTCAGCTTTATCGGAAAGACCTAATTATTCTAAGATTTCCAAGTTCTACTGTTCGAATTGTACGCATCAATTTCTGTTCGGTTGCATACGCGCTCAAACACGATCACACATATACAAACTTGGTTTACATTAATTGAATGCTTATGTTTATTTTTAAGGCGACCTTGCTGTTTACTTAAATGTGACACAATTCCCTTATCATTATTATTGATGTTTAAAAGTTTCTGCAGAAAGTTTCTTATATTGAATAATAGATTTATTATTTAAACAGTTTATTGTGACCTTCGTGTACATCACTGTAACTAAGAGAGCTGGATAAATCTAATGATTTAAAATAAAGCGGGTATAATAATCTTCACAGTTATAATTAGCTTCGAATTTTATAAAGTTGGCGAAAATGAGATCTTGCTATTTGTTCACTTCCATATGTATATAACGCGCATAAGTTATATATGACAAATAGAGCGATGGCGATAGATGGAATTAAATAGAAATTTCTCGAAATACATTTTTATAAAGAACACTGGCTGGTGATGATTGATTGACCAACCTCATTCATAACACTTTATTAATTACCTTAAGACATTACCTTCAAGTGACACAAATTCAAAATTGATTTACCATTCAAATGTCGATAAAGTTTGAACACCCCATCGAAATAATTTATCTCATCTAGATCTTTATTATATAATACTATCGTTACTAATCGTCTAATTAGTCTAAATATGAACTGGGCTCATTTAAAATTGCTGTATGAAGATGAAATAGCCAGTTTGCAGACAGTGAGCGAGTTTTTTACATAGTGCTTACCTGAAAATCTATGAAATATGCATTACAGATATCAAAAGGAAAATATTTTTTTTTTGGTATATGTGTCTTAAACCACGGACATTTCAAATTATCTTAAGATTAATATCGTTTTTTTAATCTTTGCTTTTTGCTGTTTAATATAAAATTGACAAACATTTATTTATAGTTTCAAAAAATATTTCAAATTTTCCAATTTAAAGCAATAGAAATTTTAATTGCTTAAAATGGATATCAATGAGAAGTTTCCGTTCTACTAAATAAACTGAAGCGAAACGGGAAAAACAATGTAAATTACTTATACTCATTTCAAACATTTTTATTAGGTTTTTTCGTTTATTCCTTGTCTTTAGCTTACTCTTACATAAGACACTTAATTTCAATTTCAATTTCAATTCATAGATCTATATAAACATTTAAAACTTGTTTCATAGTTAACATTTAACATTTAGCATATATATCTAGCCAAACGCGTGCGTAAGTGTTAGTGAGATTTTAATAACAACCACAACAGTAACAAGAACAATCACAAAAACAACAATACTAAAGCACTTTTCACTTAACACTTACAATTATAGCTGCATTTGTGAGTGCAATCAGGAGCACAACGCTGACAAAGCCCCAACAAAAGGGCTGCATTCTATTTACGAAATCGCAAATTTAACGTATGATCGATTCTGTTTTACTCTACTAATTATAATTAAGCTTATTAACGACTCTCTATCTCAATTTAAATATCAACCAAACTGAAATGAAATCCAAAATATATATGTTATCGCTATCGGTGAGTGCCTCGGCAGATTCTAAATGAAACAGAACATAATTAATTTTGCTTGTATGCAAGGCATCTGAATCAACTATGAATTTGTTTAATAGTTGTTCATATTTCTAAACGTATATATATATATATATATATATATATATATAATATATGTATGTATTGTCATAGATAATACAATTTTATATTATATATATATATACATAAATGTACACACTCAATACATATTCCATATACACATGAAATGATATTTTTGTAACACTCAAAGAAAAAACAAAAAAAAAAAAAAATAGACAAATTTCACTTATCACTTAGATTCATTTATTTTTATTATAAATTCATTGCATACGAACACATGAACTTGAATGAAATGAAATTATGTTCATAAAACATTTACGAGTACATAAGCATGTAGCATATGTATGATGTGGTGAAGCTCACGCGTCTGCAAGCCGCAACAAGCATACGTTTGATAAAGCAAGCGCTACGTAATAGTGTGATCCCTTTGGAATTATTATATGAAATCCTTTTTTCTCTTGTTTTTAATCCATAATGCGTTAACAATAAGAGTAATAATGAAAGCAGACTAAGAAAATCAAATTTGGCAAAGAATCATTTATGGTTGAGCTATTACTTTTCAACAAAGGAATTCCGAATATATTATGCTTCCGTTCGCGACAACTGTTGAACTTTGAATAACGCACAATAAGGCAAATAATGAAGAGCTGTACTTAAAAAAATATTGAAATTTTCATTTTGAAAAACATATACACAAATGCATAAAATCCATTACATGCTCATATATGCGAGCAAGCCTTGTATGGGTGCTTGCATTTGATTCATATGATTGTGTACATTTCAACACAAGCATAATTGTACATGTGCGAGATTCCAGCGACACAATTATAAGACGAGTGAGCATATCAATATTATCACTACCATCGCAGATTCCAGCCTTTCCATAAGATACTGAGGCAGGCAATAGCACTTAGCATGATTGACTACAAGCATATACAAATACATATGCAAGCATATTGTATATGTATAGCGATGAAATATATTATTTATTGAATTGATGCGAGTAACACAGCACGATGATAATGCCAATCGATTACTTGTTACTTAAAATCTTTCTTAGACTTTCTTTGCTTCAGAATTTTTAAATTTGTTTTCCTTTTAGCACACAAGCAAATACACTTTTGACCCATTTAACGGCGATATTCGCCCATCAAGTTGTCTTATGAATGCATATTATTCTCATTTTCTTTCAATTCACACAAAAATATACTCGCGCCCAATGACTGAGTATCAACCCTTGATGGCGTTAAGCATTACATTCCATGTTCATACAATCACTTGCTGAACACTTTAAGAAGACGGTTTTATCCACCAGATGTGTGTAAAAATGTATGTATATATGGTATCAACCTACATTCATACATTTATATGCATCTGTTTTCACTTGCATAATGTTTAATTGTATCAGATGTTGTCCCGTTTAGAAAAAAAAAAATCGTGTTTGTTTTATATAATGCATGGTGTCAGTGTCCCTGAGTTCATTTCCATTCTCCATTAAAGTCTAAATTACTTAAATGATCGATTTTACTTGTATACGCAAATGAATATCTGCCGTTGCTATTCTACACGCATTATATAAGATCATAAAAAGTGAAACTGCGTGTGAGTGTGTGTGTGTGGCTTACATAAATATCATTGACAATGTTATGTTGTTGTCAGAATTATTATAATGAGTAGATATTTTTTTAATTAAGAATCGTACATACTTTTATATAAACGAGTATGTCCGTGTGTCTGCATTGAAATTTATATAATCAAATGGCGACATTGCTACATTTTTTAACACACCATGGAACATATACTAATTTTGTCAAACTGTTTGCAACCTTCAAGAATAACCATCAGAAATCCACACTGAGTCGTTCGTATTCAAGTTACGAAAAAACTTTTCTACGAGAATCATTATGTAATAAGTTTCCCACAAATAATAGGTGAAATTCAATTATTTACTTTTGTTTACTTAGCTAGAGAGAGAGAGAGAGAACTGAATTAATTAATATTCGGACATGTGTAACTTTACTTGTCGGTCTCATTAATCAGACCCAGACTAGAAATAGTTTTAGCAAAGTTTTAGAAAATTTAACCTATGTCTATAGAAAAAACTATTTTGCGCTTTATATAAGAATTCACTTTTGTCGCCCGCTATACACAATGGATAGGTTCCTCGAACTATCTTGCAAATTGAAAAGAGAAGTTTTTGTACAAAATCTCACGTATGTGCATCTAAGATAATCTGGTTTTTTGAGCCATCCATTAAGCATAAAATACATGAAAATAACAATTAAATTAACTTAGGTTTAATTTTTTAACTGAAATAGAGTTTAAGTTGCTATTCAAATCACTTTAAATGATAGGTTTTCTCTTACGAATTTTTAGGGTTAATATCATTCATTCTTTCATTATCATTCACCATATCTTTCATTATCATTCGTTAGACTCTATGTCGACGACTGATGACTTAGCATTGATTTCCCATCGATGAGAATTAATGCCAGATATGTAATTGATATGTTTTTTGTAGAAATCTTTCAATCCTCGCCAACAATATAGCAACAGGCATTTAAAATATAATAAATGCTAATCAAATAATGAATTAAAATTAAATGGAGATAAATGCGCCTGAAGCCTAAATTTGTCCCCATGAAAGATGCCTGGGGGCATTTTATTATGATTACTTCTTTGGTATATTAAAGTTGATACAAAAACTAAAAGAACTGCGGCAAGCACGCATATTGGTTGCCCTTATGACTATTGACTTATGACAAAGACAGAATTTGCCCCTTAGCTTCATGTTCATCAGTTTATATGTTCTATGATAAACTTTGTACAATTTAAGCCAACAAAAATGAAAGACGAAGCTTAATGTTTTAGTCAAGTCTTTATAGAGTGTAAAGATAATTTCAAAGGGTACATAGCGATGGACTGGACTCAAAAATCTGATAAATTTTATATTGACTTTCGAATGTGTGTTATATTATTTAATTCTGTTAGCTACGACCTTAATAAAATATTTAAAAATAAAATGGAGTTTGATATACAAGGGAAATTCCACTAACTATATTCATATAGCATTGTATGTGTACGTACGCACTACTTTTATATATTTAGTGGGCATAATATATAAAAGAATTGATAAAGTGAAAAAATGATCCACATTTTTCGAATTATGTCTTTCGTAAAACTAAAATGAATTGAAGAAAAACCGACCATAATTGTAATCGACCGAAAATAATTATAAAAATTAAATAATCCTACAAGACGTACATGTACAATATAAAACAAAACTTGCACTCTTATGTTAGAATCTTAAAGGCAAACAATTAAGATTTCGCTACTAGCAATCAATGTGTTTGTGCGGACGCGCGCGTGTATGTGTGTTTGCGTTTTCTCTTTTTTGCGTTAGATGCAAAAGCATTGGAAGCCACCCATTTTCTACTCTGTGGCACACGACTGCTTAGTGTGCCACTTAAACACTATTTACGAACCTAAGTTAACGCTGCTAGTTACTTCGTTTCTTACATAAAGGTACAGGAAACATTCCTACGGCTCTCTATTTTTCCAGGTCGTTAGTCACTTCAATTCGATTGAGGAAACACTTCAATTTCGATCTATATATACACGCCCTCAGCCTTGTCTGCAATATTACATACACCACCCAGACACCTGGATTCGAATTTAAATCGAAGGAAATACGCTTGGAAGCATTCATGACCATTGGGTAATTGAGTCATCAAAATATCTAACTTATCTCCATGAGAACCCATGAGCCTATATATTCGCGATGAATATTTGAGTTGATCTGCACTTTGCAAATCTACTCCATCTCTCTTGCGATTCGCCAGACGTCAGCGTTTTAAAATCATAGTCTCGTAAGCTGTCTCGAACATTTCGCACCTCTGCTATATAAGCTGCGTATTTGGTCTGGAAATCGTTTGGTATCGTGCTGACAATGCTTATAGGGCCGCATTGTCGAAAGTAGTACGAAATGCATAAAAGATGTATGCTGCTAGGATGCTTCGTTTGTATGAAGTAACGTTCATTGCCTTATATCGCCCAATGGAGTTAATGCTACCGCTGCAATTGTTGATATCTGAGTGATGTGTTTGAGATTCGGTTTGAATAGTAGTTCGTAGTTAATCCTAATATCCATGTATTGAATTGCATTGACGCCACCTAGTTTTGGTGTAACTCACTTTATTTTCTGTCTAAAGATTATTGGGACTGCTTCCGTTTTTTGTTTCATTAAATTCTGTCAGCGTTTTGCCAAGAGCGACGTGCATATTATCTGACGATATCATCTGCATTCTTGCATTCAGACTTGCTCTGGTAATGGTAGCCGCGTGACAATACAGTATATGACATTTCGGAGCCTTTGCCGAAGCATTAGTATTTGCTGTGTTTGTGCAGTGATGAGGTCTTCCTTTTATGGATGGATTGTCTGATGAGTAGAAAAGTTTGCTGCCCTAAAGCAGCTACGGTAATGTACGCTTTTCCATTGAATCGACTATATGCTGCCAGTTAGAGGATTTAAACCAGTTTTTCAAATCTAGTGTCAATAAAGGACAACGTTTTTCTTCCATAGCTGCGGCGGCTGCAATGGTTATTTCGTTGACAGCGTTCACGGTGCGTGTTTTCCTTCTAAACCCCCGCTGATTTTCGGGCGTTGCTTCGTTATCATCTAGCATACCATCTACACGGTTCCAAATTATTGTTCCAAGCATAGGCTTATAAGCTAAAGAATCACGAACCGGTTTATTTGGTTTTGACAGCAAAATCAGTTTTTACCGTTTCATTCTTGGGAAATTATTGTAAAAATTTGCAAACGTTTCGACCTACAAAAAGATTGGTTTCTTTGTAGGCTAGCTAAGGAAGCTTTCTGGGTCCGGAGTCTTTTTCTCGTTTAACTGCCTTGCAGTTGCATTTACTTCTCCCTTGGAGTGCACTGGAATAAAGCTTATTGCGAGGACAGCGCATCAAGGAGGTTTCGCCAGGTCGCCTGACTTGTGGGTTTCATCTTTTTCATTGCTACCTTAGAGGCCACACCTTAAAGGTCGAAGAATGCATTTCTGATTATTAGCTGACCCAGGTGGTGCTATATTGTCCAACAGGCGCTCGAATAGTAGTTCTCTACAATGCGTACTGGGTTTGTATATAGGCCCATTAAGAGAACTTAAAGTCTTGTTGCCCTGTACATTGACCTGTAACTCGATAATTATGGCGTGGTGTTCACTACGCGTGTCGATATTGCTGAGGTTCACGTTCATCCACTATCCGTTGTCCAGGCATTAAAATCGCGATTTAGACTTTCGGTCCTCCCATCTATAAAGAGTGTACAGATCAGTGTTTCAAAATCTGGTTGGCTCCTACTGATAGAAAAATAATAGCTATAGCTATATATCCCGCTGCATTCCGCGCAAACAACTCAAGCGCCTGTTAAAATAATCTGCATGTTTCAACGTTATTGGCTGCATTACCCGATTGCCGGCTTGCCAAAGTTGTCTTTCATTCAATTCGAACTTGCTTTTACACAGTATGGTTCGCGAAAGATTATTACATCAATGGCTAGTTCAATGGGCAGCTCTTGTGCTCTCCTCGTTTGGGGTTTACTTGTACCAGCTTCATAATTGGTTTCTAATGACACTAGCTCGAGTATTCATAGGGCAATTTCAGCCAGCATTGAATTGTTACGAACCTCACTATGTTCTTTCCTACACCTTAGTCAGGAACACTGTTCCTTTGTAGTGCGGCCAACTTACGTACATCTGTGGCAATTCTGCACTATATATTTCTCTCCACACATTCCTGGTACTCTTTGTGCCACTTTTTGCCGGAGCCAATAGAGTTGCTGTTTGTGTGGCGGCCTAAACATTCCTGCTTGATACTACAGCATCGTTTCTGATATATGCTGAACGGCGTGTTGTTAGCAGATATTATATTAACCGCTGATGTGACTTCAGCTAGATCCTTAAATTGAATCTTCACTACCTATAAGTTTGGCGTTCACATCCTGCCCCGAAGCTTTATTCACCATCTCTTTACAAGCAGTTTTTTTTTCGTTTATATTTTGGCGGAATTGTGGCAGCATATCGCTTTCAAGTGCTTTATGTCTTTGGACTTTTTCAAAAGTTCGGTATAAGTCAAATTAGACGTGATTGATGATGATTATTGCATCCAGCTTATTTATCAATCTAGTTGGCTCCACCTGTCTATTGCAACTTTGGATTACTGTCCAGCCCTCTTGCTTCACGACCAGATTGCTCTATACATTACCAGTAGAGAGGCGAAATTTAGTATTTAGCTTCTTAACTCAAGTAACCTAAACAATCTACAGTGCACGCTATCTAGAAATGGGTGCAATCAGATACTCCGCTAGGAAAAAGTTCTGTACGATCAGCGACTAAGTGTTCAGATTCTTGCCGCACTAAAAAGCAGAAAAAGTGTTTGGTCGTTCATAAGTCGACGACTAATAAACGACAACTAACATATGACCCGGTTGATAAAGCTAACGTCTTAGTTGAAATATTTCTTTCAAAATCCTACTTACTAAATAGCAATCATCCTCTGCCACCACTTAAAATAGTAACATGTTCAATTCCCACATTATTCTCGCGAACGTTATTTCAATAGTTATGATATTCTGCTTCAATAAGGCAATGTACCCGAGCTACTGACTATTTCGGCGAGAGGTAAAGTTGCTGCGCTAAATGCCTTCGAAACGTTCAACATAGTATGGCAAGATGCTCCCTTCTCCAAGGTGATTCCGCTTGGTGTCAAGAGCATTTTCACTCGATTACATTGAGTTTCCTACACAATCGATTCGATAAAAGTTGTAATCGACGGATATCCCTCAAGTACATTATCTCTTCTTTAACTCTATTCATTAACAACCTCCTGTGCATAACAGAAAACCCTATTTACTCATTTGGAAATAACACAACCTCGTCTCGTCGTCCTTCCACAGCAAAAAACCATTCAATCCCGAGATAAAGAATAAACAATGGGAAACGTCTTAAAAATGCCTGAGTGAGGTTGACCAAATGCGGTAAGCTTCAGTGTCATCAAAACTCAATGCTGTCTCTTAACAAATGCGAAGAGTTATGAACAACTCCTCCCTTCCAACAGCGTAAATGCAGAAGATCCAACAACTCTTGATATTCTTGGCAGGAGAATACGAAGTGACGTTCCTTGGACAGAACGCATATTCGGAGTGTCGGAAGATGTTATTGAGGACCTAGGTTTTTACAATGGTTTAAGAAGTACTTTACTACAACGAATGTTCGCGCTATTTGCACCGTCTATGCCCAGTTAAAATTATAATTAAACTTATATGTAAGGACAGGTGCGCCAGTACACAGCAAAGAACTCAGATGCTCATAGGAGATGAGAGTGTGTCGAAAATGTCCCGATGCTCTTGAGCATAGACATAATGTGCTTATGTATAGGTATATCAAAGGCAACTGTTCTAAAGAAATAATTTTTATTCACCAATAAAGTCCTTTAACAGAACTACGTGATTTTATTAGTGTTCTCACCCAATCCGTCTGAAGATGCCTACAAAACGCACGGCCCGCTATCGCGACTTATCGCTCTCCACCTGAACTCCCCGCCTATAGAATAACATATCAGCAATTGTCTTCCTGATCGTTTAAATGTTTTCACTTTCAACCCGAACGTAAACAAATACTACATCTCTCTTTCCTCTCTCCTAGTAACCATATTGCCCACATATTGGTGCCCATTGGTTAGGAAAGAAGTAGAAGTATGATATTCTTGTGTATGATTTTATTATCTAGGATCCGTAACATGATTTTTACCGGAAACAAACTGAATTTGCGCAGGACTAGTTTCTATTTTTTTTTGCATTCTTTCCCCTCCCTGTCGCCTATAGTAGAGATCGTGGGCAACATTGAACAGATCTTATGGCATTGTGGATTTTGTGTACAACCACATATTATACTGTCATGACGAGTGCTGCAGAATACAAGAATAATATTCTTGGGTGTACTAAGCAAAACGCTTACGAGTAGAGCAAGTCAAAACTTGGTTACTAGTTTGCTGAAATCAGAAAAATACTTTACGAAGACTTTTTTTGAAACAGAAAGTAGGACGATCATTTTTACAATAATAAGCGAAGACATATTTTTTTTTTATTTATTTATTTTTTTTTTACTCTTTCTTTGCGACAACTTAAGCTAATTGAATTGCTATACTAGAATATTAAATTTGTATTAAACAAGTATTTTTAAATATTACAAATCTTTGGTTCATTTAGCTGTAATATATTTAATCAATAAAATTATTGTGACATACAAAAAAAAAAACAAAAAACAAGAGAAAAAATTTTAAAGATCTACAAAATGCTTGCGGTTCTACAATACTCTTGTGTGTAGGCGTGTACGTAAAAAAAATTTTAAAAATATGTATATATATATACATATATATATATATGTATATATACATATAGATATCTATATGTGTATAAGTGATCGAAAAAAATTATGTGCTAACTTAAAAGTCCGATTCGGGCTACAGTCGCTAATTAACGTAACGTGAAACATGAACGAAAGAAAAAAATCAAAACTCATAGGTATTGCACCAAAACCGGCCACACAAAATAATAATTAAAATCATGTAATTAAATCTATATCTAATATGCACATATAATGTATTTACTTATGTATATAACGCGAATGCTAAACGGAAGGGTGCAAAATAGATGCTTAAAGCTAAAGATAAAAACAAAAGATGAAATTAACGCCGCTAAGCTATCAAGTGCAACTTTTGTTGGCAGACGCTGTGCAACTAATTTTAAAGACTAGATTATCTCGTCTGGAGACATATTTAAGTGTCGCCTGGTTGGCCGCCCTTAAATATGTGACACTCTAAATAAAAACTAAAAGCAAGAAAAAAAAAAAAAAAAAAAAAAAAAAAAAAAAACAATAAGAAAACAGAAAACACTTTTAAGCTCATATATAATTTCTATAAATATTAAGGCACATATTTGCACATTTTTTGGAATTCTCTAACTAGTAATTAAGAAAAAGATTTTTTTTTGCTTTTTTTTTGTTTTTTTTTTTTTTGTTTTTACTCTTTTTCTCTATATTTGATATTCGTATCCCAGTGTAATGAGTGAGAAGGAGATAGGAAATATATTTTCACTGAATACTGTATTATTAACAAAAATTACATTCTATGGATCGTACGAGTATCTCTAAAATATTGTCAAAACTAAAAAACATACACAACAGTCATACATATGGACAAAAGCATATACTTGCAAACATTCATAACCGCAGGTATTATGATGTAAAGGTTGTAACATAAGCTTTATACTCTTTTGGCTGCATGTGTATATTATGTTTGTATAAATGATTGCGAATTAAATTCGTAGTCATTCAATTGCAGATGTAAATGCGACGCATATGTTTGCGTGTGCCTGTTAATAAATTTATTATCACATGGGTTTCACAAATCTAACTAAAATAGAGTATTACAACATGTACTACATATGTGTTTACCAAGAATACATACATATATGTATATATATGTTATAATATGTATATAAAATTTGCAATATATGCGAAAGGTATCATATCATGTGTTGAGCGCCTTCTATTGGCGATTGCACAGTAATATTAACGAATTTGTTTCCCTCGTTTGTACGTTTGCGTGAATTCTCATCACTTTCACAGACTATTTTTTTTTTTGTGTCTTTCTTTAAAATTTTGTAAAATGTTTCATTCATGCGTTATTAGGCAACAATGGCATAATTTCCTGTCAATTCGAAAGGACTTGTTTTCGCTGAATGTGTGAAACTATTTTTAGGTGAAAAATCGACCGGTTTATCTTGTATTTGATTACCCCCGTTATTTGTGGGTATTGTGGTGTAAAACTGTATTGGAATAGCCGCCGATGTGCCGTTGTAATAATGAGTCTCTGTTGTTGCGGCAGCTGTTAAAGCTGTTGGTTGGATAACGCTAATACGTTTGAAACGTTCATAGTCCTCCTTGCTCATGGGACTGTTTAGCATTGTATATGATTTTTGATGATGAATGACGTCCATAAGGGGGGATTCCTTAGTAACCGTTATAAGTTGAACATCAGCATGCGGAATATGCGCCACCTCCGGTATCGGTATACAATATATTTGGCGGCGTTCTTTACCTTTTTGTAACAATTTATTGGCCAAAGTTGATTTTGTTATGTCTGTAGCTTTGCATGTATTTGCGTTGGCGGCATATGGGTGTGTAGCACTTCTACTCGTTTGTACACTAGATAGATCAGGACAATTTATCGTTTTATGAGTTCGAGATTCTCGATCGGTACGCTGATTTTTCATACAGGATGATTCTTCATGTTTGTAAAGGTAAGACTTTAAGGCAAATGCTTTACCGCAACGTCCACATGTATGAGGTTTGGTATTCGAATGTGTTTGTATGTGAGCTCTTAAGTTTGACTTGTCAGCGAAAGCTTTCGTGCAAACGCTGCACTTAAAAGGCTTCTCACCTAAGTTCGAAGTTGAAGAAGGCAAAATAAATAAAAATATTTAAAATATAAGTTCAACAATACTCCGGTGTATCGAGCAGCGTTTAGTATATATATATATATAGAAGAGTTTTTTTTTTTTTTTTTTTTTGCAAGCATACCTGTATGAGTTCTTATGTGACCCTGTAATAGCCAAGGTCGCGAGAAACGCTTGCCACAATATTGACACTCGCAACCCTGATTATGAGTGCGTACATGCATAGAAAAGGCGGGCATAGAGACATAAACCTTTTCACAGTAAGGACATCGTCTTGCCTTTTTATCCATAATCGACCTAATAACATTTAATATGGAAACTGTTATTAATATATAATAATTTTGTAAATTAATTTATTCTTTAACTAATAACCCACCTGTGAATTTGTCGATGCCTTGCCAAATTCGATGATGTCGAATACTTTTTACCGCACTCCGGACATACATGCTCGTCATCGGATAAGCTAGAACTGGAAGTTCCAGATGAATGTGAGCTAATCTGTGCTAAATTTCCAATGATGCTACCATTTTGTGAATATCCAATCGATTGGAATTGCTCGTCGCCACTGCAACTGGGTGCACTACTGCAAGAATGTTCATCGTACCGTGAATGATCCGATATTGTCGAGCGACGCGATTTCTTTCGATCAAACACTTTATGACTATAATAATAAGAATCATCGTCGGACGAGGATACAGACGTTACTAAATTCGGCATCGGGATATTTTCAAATCTTGACGATACTGAGTCTTGATAACTTCCTTTCATTAGCGATTGCGACTGCGTTTCCGTTTGCTTTTCATGGGAATTTAATTCACTAGCGGGTAATGTTGTTATCCTTCGGTCGCCATCACTGGGACGATGAAGATCAGTTGCACCAGAAGATTGAAATTTCGCATTATTTATATATTCTTTAATTTCGCTGGCATTTGTTGTACTTAGACGAACGGCCGCCAACGTAACTTCAGCTAGCTGCGTTAGATTGTATAGTTCTTCGGGTATGGCCGATGTTTGATCTTTGGTCATTTTATCGAAACTATACACAAAGTGTTTTTATTTGAATATGCGAAAGAAAATTGATGTCAAAATTGTTTTATTAAAAATTCTGAAAAACAAAATGAAAGTGATTTTTAAAAATGATCGTTCCATTAATTTTAAATTTCTATTTCAGTTGGGCACGGTATAAGCACGTACATCGATATCACCTATATGGCCGAGTAATTATCTTAACCTTACGATTTTCCTAAGCAATCTCTTTTTTGGGAATGTAAGTGTGTATTATGTGTGTGTTTGTTTTTCTGTTTGTATGTATATATATATATATATATATATATGTGTGTGTGTGTGTGTGTGTGCTTCTGTGCTTAGTGTATTTAATGCTTTGGATGATGACAGTTTGCTGTCACACTTCCGCTAATTCGCGGCCACTTGCAAGCAAATGACGTGTTTCGTGCGCTTTTCATTTAAAGGAAAATTAAATGAAACAACCTGCTAAAATCATTATAAAGTGCGTCATAAAATAATATTATATTCTTACATGACTACACCACTTCAGGCCGCACCGCAGTCCACCATATTATACTACAAACAAATGCACGTAATATGTAAAGGCAAACGTGTGCGATCATAATTTAATAAATTAAATTGAGGCCAACAAAAACATGCCTTCTATACGCATATCTATAAACTATACGTACTCGCATGTATGTATTCCTGTACAAATACATAAACGCAGATGTATGCAAGCATGGATGTATTGAAGCATATAATACCGTATGCGCGAATAACTGGCCGATTCAGTTAAGTTATGTTATTGTCGACGCATAATAATTATGTAAAAATACTTTTCTATTATTATCGTCATTTTTTTTTTTTTTGTTAGGTAGCGCCTCGATCAAATTTCCATTTGTGATGAGTGCAATGAAAAGGATCAAAATAAATTTCAAATGATTTATAACTCTCGCAGCATCCGCTGTCGCAACGAAATAAATATAAATTAAAAAAAAGAAGAAGAAAAATAAAAGGAATATGAAGAAGAAGATGAAAAGAAATTATCAAAGATCGCCTTATATAAGTTTGCATGCGTGGTTTATGCTTTATTTCAATTTAATTGTGAGCTTATCGAGCAAATCTCAAGGACAAAAAAAAAAATAAATAAATAAATAAATAAATAAAATGAGAAATATGCCCAAGCACTATACAACAACGTGTTGTGTTTTTTTGGCGACTTTTCTTTAATGAAGAAATTTACACAAATATTAAATGGTTCTTAATTAATAATCATTACATTTGACATTGATATTACGTTCTCGGTGGTTGCAGAAATTTTCCTTTGACATATTATCTCATAATTTAGTGCCACAATAAATTATGTACATATATATTTAGGTAACATACAATTATAACGTATGTTATTTATGGATTCTTTTCATTATATCATACACCAGTTGTTTTTAAAAAGGCTGTACGCAAAACAGCAGAAGGGCTTGTGATAAACTCATCTGTTCTTATACTAATCGATTCAGAAATTGACTGTCCGTCTGTTCGTTTATCTATATGTTTTGGTTTTCCTATCAATCGCGATTTATGAGATATTTTGATGAAATTCGATACAATGAAGTGTTCAACGACCAAGATGATGCGAATGGGACCACTATTTCGAGCACTTCCCTTATGAGACCGTACTTCGAAAAGTCGTTATGTAAATAACGACGAGTACGGTGATGTAGGTGAATGCACGACGCAGCCCATTACAGTGTTTTTACTTCTTTCTAATGACAAATGATGCCCGCGACTTAAGGATGACAACAAGGTCAGTCGAAAGTATACCTGTGACCTTGTAATTTCATTTCCTTTAGAACTTTTGCTCGTTCAAATTCATATAGTCGTCGTGTTAGAAAAATGTCGAATCCGATATACCTATCGATTATTGTCCACGATGCAAGAGATATTAAATTATGTTATTTAGTCTGTTTTTCCCGTATGTCATATTACAATTATAATTATAATTTTTCAGCTAAGTCGCTTTGCATGCGTTATTCATTAATTGACTGTGCGTGTTTGTGTTAACTTTTTTGTATGTATGCTATGTTGTAACTATAGCTTATATATAATTTGTGAAGGCTAAGCCTACCCTCTTTCTGTTCAATTATGACTTGGAAGGGCAATATATTCTTATAATAAATTTGACCAGAAATAAGTTGATTGAAAGTTGGTCCAGAATAATCATGACTACTTTTCGCACCCTACGACTTGCAAACAGGCCCAGAATTGCGACAAAATGTTCTAAAATGAGTATTGGCAAGCACTTCTCGAGTGAATATAGGTCCCTTGTTTGTCTGTTTGGGGCGTTCTATTGTCCAAATAATCGAAAAATAAGTGCATTCTTTCCCTTTATAATATTCGTAAATATCTTTTAGAGGTTTCCCAATATAAGTATGAATTCTTAATTGAAATAATCGAGCAATGATTTATTTATATCACATATATCCGTTCGCACGCCTCACAGAGTATGGAATAAACTTGACATTTGGATTGCAAAAACTAAACACTCGAAGCCAGCTCTTGAGAGAAGAAGTAAAACTGCCTTTTAAGTACGCCCCAATTTCGTTTTCTACGTAATGTTTATTCTTGAATTTCTCTCTTTTCTTTTCCTATTGCCGCCACTCATTAAAGTTTACACGTCAACCATAAATAACACAGACTTTAACAAAATATGTTTGTTAATTGTTTAATGGCACTATAAAGTCAAAATTCAAACTGATTTGACGCATGTTACAAAGCTTTAGTGTCAACAAATCACTGTAAGGAATGTAAGGAATACATAAAATAATGTAATGAATTTAAATTATTAATGATATTGGTACCCCTGCTGGTTTCACGAATTTGGTATCCCTGCGAGCAATGTATAGGTGCTTCTAACGTCCGTTGGAATCGTTGAGTAGTTCCGATACCTAGCTCCTACAAGGCGACATTATAAACACACATAAAATGCGGTTTTTTTTTTTTTTTTTTTTAAATTCTGCATTTTTTTTAAATATGTTATCATCTAAATCATATGGTAAAGTAAGGCTAAAACAACATGTCGAGGTTCTTTCCTAATGAAAATTTATGACTTCTTAACTTGCGGTCTACATCAGATTTCGAGCAATTATGTCAATTGTAGTGATCTGATTATTTTATTTTATTAAAAATAAAAACGATCTTTATCGATTCGCCGACATGAATGCAACTTGAACAATTTTCCGATTATTGAAATCTGAATATCTTCTGAACAAGCTTAAAAGTTATAGTCTCGCAAGAGAGCGAGAGAGAGAGAGAGAGAGTTAAATTATTGCATCATCATACCGCACCGTGTGTCTTTATTGTTGAACATCAAAAATTACACTAAATAATCTCATAAGAGGACTTATTTTCAATGAAAATCCTTATGTAAGACGGCGTCTAAAATATAGGCCAATGGAATCTCAATTTACCATAATAATAAATGTATATGTCAATCTATTTTATATTGCATCAGATTTTATTATAAAATACTAAAATTTTGATATTTTTCCCATGTGAAGGTTCAACGATCGTAAGAACATTTATCTTGGAGATCGCTCAAGAAATGGTCCCCCTTACATTTTATATATTTAATTATATATGCTAAGATACTATTATTCATCGATTTTCCAACATTCAAAATGGAAATATTTTTTTAGATAAATACTTTCTCCTCATAAGGTTGCTTAGGTGCCAGGATATGAAATTTTGTTAAAGTATCTCGAGAATCGAATCGATTGATACAATAGAAGGTGAGTTTCTTTTTAGTTTTGCCTAGCTATTGCAGGTAACTGCACAAAGTTCATGTAACACACCCTTACCGCGTATAAAAACTAAAAATATTTAAAAAAGTGATTTTAAACGAAAAACTTTTTAAATGCTTTCGCTTAGAAAATGCCTTAGGAAATGCAATGTGAAGCAATGTGAAGCAATGTGAAGCACTCTTAACGATGATGTTATAAAAAGAAAGTCAAGATTCTCAATACTAACGTAAAGCAAACTAAGCAAACGCTTTCGTTGCGGTGTAATATCAAAATAAATATTTAGCAAATATTACATCGTATAGCTGCCATACACTATAAATATCAAAATCGAATCTAAGAAGACTAACTAGCCTTGGGACAGAGAGACACCTGTGTGGATAATTTAAACCAAAAACCAATGTATTTTCTTTATTTTAAAGATACTCCACCATCACCACCACGCTATTACCCTTAATAAGTTAAAATGCGGAATTTCTTCTGACATTCACAAAGGCACACATCTATTTGGAAGACAAAGAAACTAAACAAACGAATATATGGCGCACGTAACCTATTATTAAAGAGGAAGGAAGAAAAAACAATAACAAAATGCGCACAAATAGACAAATTCACTCATATATATATATATATATATATACGTTGCGTGAGTATTATTATTAAACATGTACAGAGAAATACATTGCATCCTGCTTGTGGTGCAAGGATATATTAAGGTTGTACGGATGTAAGCAGCATCCTGAAGGACTTGAGACAGATTCATCATCTTTCATTAAACCGATCGATTTAGAAGGTGTTTGTCCGTCCTGTTTTCTTGTGTTCAACAACCTAAAGGCCTCCAGATTTTTAGATATTGCGATGAAACTTGGTACCTTGACGTGGTTTGGGCCAAAGGACGAGTCCTATCTCACACATTTCATATAACAACTTATTTTAAAAAGTCATTATATAGATAGCTGTATGGCGATATAGGTTGTTTAACGGTGCGACGTGGCCCACTGTAATGTTTTTACTTGTTACATTCATAATAAGAATGTTTGAAAAACTCAGATTTATTTAATTTATTTTGGTTTTGTTCGTTGTTTTTGATTTCAGGAAATGTCAACATATTCTTATTTATTTATTTACGCTAGTCTTGCGAAAACATCAGTCAAGCGACGCATTTTATTTAAATGGCCTTTTCCCATTGGATTCTATAAAGAAAAATAAAGCTTCATAGATTTATAGATGTACGTACTCCTATGATATACGTATGCGAATGCTTGAATGCCTAAATGTGCGAGAGTGTTTACATTTCTGTTGCAGTAGATGCGAAACATTATAAGCGTAGTAAGCAAAATTTCAGTGTGGTAATGTTATGCTAAAGCGAACTTCATCTTAAACCGCTTTTGTTCTTTGAAATCATTTTTAACTATTACACCACGATTATCAAGGTATGTGTGTGTGTGTGTGTGTGTGTGTGTGTGTGTGTGTGTGCGCATGTTCACATATCAAATAAAAATGACAGTGAAATGAAAATGCATTTCATTTAAAAACCACAAACATTCCTAAAACCGGAAAAGTGTGGCATTTTTGTTTTCTTTTTTTCTAATTTTTTTTTTTTTTTTTTTTTTTTGTTTCTGTTTTTTTGTTTGCAAATTCACTAATAAACGTTCAACGTTCAAAATGTATTCAGATTATTGTACTCACCTAATGCTACGTTAAGTGTGTAAAAGTCATCATCCCAATTGCTTTCTGCCACAGAGAATAGCCGATGGCGGTAAATATAGATCGATGATTCAGTTAATTTTCAATTTGCTTTCAAAAACCATTGTCGATACATTTGTAATAGTTAGGTGATTAAGGTTATGTAGTAAAATAATTTAATTTAATAATCAATAGTACACAATAAATATGCATTTTTTTGCGATTGACAGAATAAATTATTTCCTTTTCCGTTTAGTTTACTATTTGCGGCTAAATGTCCGTGTTGATCTTTTTGCTCCTAATGTAAGCGAAAAATTGAAATTCACATGCTTTTGCATTGAAATATACAAGAGATACGCGCGCTATACATGTATTTTGATAATTAATTAATTGCCGAAACACTGTCTTTGAAAATTAATTTTTTAATGTTTTTTTTTTTTTTTTTTTTTTCCAATTGATTATGTGTGTGCCTTCTTTTTGGTTTTTTTTTTTTCCTCTGTTGATAAATCAAGTATCAGATCAGCTTGTTGCGCATAGCACGTTCTATTTTATGAAAATCTCGAAAAGGACTGAACAATTTTCAAAACTGCCATTTACATTTTTACTCATACAGACCCACACACACACATGTATATATATATATATATATATATATATTTATGTATATACACACACAGGTATATAAAATAAAGAATTTTGAAAATTGTAGAGCAGAACGCCCGTTCGACTAACTAATGCGAGCATTGCTGCGCCAAAGTAGGGATAAGAAAAAGCCAAACAGCCATAGACGAGACCCGGCAGCAGTATATGAGAGAGAGAGAGAAGATCGCATTGAAATAAACGGGAGCAGCCACTTGAGAAAGAGCAGGAACAAGTGTGCACAGTTAAAAATAAAATCCCGTCGAGTAATATGCTTTATGGTTTGGTATAAAACTCGCACTTTTCCATCCATTTACATATTTATTTACAAATACATACATGTACACGCGTACACACACGTGGATCATTAAAATAAAAATATGAATAAAAGTAATATTTTTTCCCTTATACACACACACTTATATATATATATATAACGAACGTATACGCTAACGCTATGTTTGTAACTCTCAGGAAATTGAACTTGTTATTGTATAATATTGGTCGAATATTGAAATCACCCTGTATATAGCTCTATATCCGTTCTAGTGGGTCCCCTAGGTAATTATAATTAAACTTGCAGTCCAAGTCTTCAGCAGCCGAGTGTATGCGAATAAATTCAAAATCAGAATTTCACGCTAAGCCAAAACATAGCCGTGGCGTGTAATATATTCTAGGTGTACTTCTACATTTATCAAATAGAAAATAGTTACAATAAATTCCAGATTTCGATATTAAATGATCAGATCTACTCGAGATCATACTTAGCTCTTTTAAGTCAATCTGTTACATATGTATATGTGTATATTTACATTCACGAGCATATGAAGATATATCGGTACGTGCGTAACGTGTGTGTATGTTATTATATATAAAATCAACTGAAAGAGGTGAACGTTAGCCATTATCATAAGAAGGATCATTGCCACCAGCACCACTGCTGGCACTTGAGAGAAAATAATAATAATAATAATAATAACATAAAACTCAGCAGTGGTAGCAACGGCCAATTTTTCAGACCACTGCGCAGAATCTGTTTAGTAAAATGAATGTAAAATAGTTATATTCGTTATAAGTCGAATTTTAGATGACCTACGTTATCGAACGTATATGAAAGGCATAGTTTTGAGTAATTGGCAGTGTATCCTTCTACAGGATCAATAGTATTTCTGAAGCACACATTCACAGTATCTCAGGAACGTCGCTCTTAATTGTAGATCATCAACTATTATCGGCAATTTGTAGAAATTTTGAAAGCATTTACGTGTATTTCCAAAACTACGCTTATTATCAGTTTCGACCTACAGATAAAAGTAATTTACATCACTTTTTCGAAATTGAAAACTTTTAGAACAATAGGAAAAATGCATGACTCAAATACTCACTCACATATTATATAAGAAATCTTTGCTTCGTATTTTTGAATGCTGCTAACGAAATAGAGGAACCGTCTGGTATTCTTCTTCTTCTAGGATAACAAGTTATTACTACTCAGATAGTAAGATTTCTTCTTTGGTAATATGACTGTACGATTGAAGATTATCCTAAATCTATAGATAAGATCTTCGGGCATATGTTATATTTCCAGTGTCTGCGCTGTTGTACACGATTTACAAATTATTTAAAGAAACATGTAAATCTCGCAGTATTTTATTCACTGTACACGCAAGTCATGCTTATATATATAAAAATTTTATCAATAGTGAAATAGAAACTAATAGAAAATAATGATAATAAATATCTAAAATATTTTTCATGTCAAAAACGGACACAATCACATGATGTACGGAGACGTAAACAAGTAATTTGCCGGTCTCCGAGTATCGAAATTGTTGTTTGTTTTCGCTTAGGTTCCGCATATATATGAAAATCAACAAAGAAAGCCTCAAATGCTTTAATCTAAAATCTCAGATGAACAACATGTCTGCGAAAATCTGCTTTCGATAAACTTTCTATTCTCAAAATAATCATGAGTTTTTGCAACATTTTTTCTTTCTTTCTTGATTTTTTTTTTTTTTTTTTTTTTTTTTTCATTTGGCATTCAAACGTACGGTGGCATTTCATACTTACATACGTCGGAGGCTGTTTTTGTTTATGGTTCGATCAAGTGGTCGCCGTTGTATATTAATTGTTCTGTGATCGTGATTATCTTGTTATTTATACAGATTTTTAAACAATTTGATCACAGGTGTTGTTTGCTATAATATTAGTAGCTTGACGTTCGAGCATAATGTACGATTAGCTGACAAACAAACTGTCAGGTGTAAAAAAAATTATTTATTATTCATAATATTATTTATTATTTGTTTTTTTGTTTTTTTTTTTTTTTTTTTTTCTATCCAATTTTCTTTGTATTTATTTAGTTTTCTCAAGGAACACACTTATTGACTCAAAAAGAAGAAAAAAAAAAAAAACGTTCACTATATTTTATGGTATATGCTTCTAAATCAACCTTGTCGTATACTAATCTTAGGAGGATATACAACTATACTGACCTTGGCGTAGGCTATTGCCTAAATTACGAACTTTTCGAACATGTAGTGTACGCACCTATAACCAATAAATGATCAAAAAAAAAATTTTTTATTATCCATTTTCGACATAAATCGGCACAACTGAAGGACCCTTCTTTTATTTGTTTTAATTCTCCGGTTTTACTTTCGTTTATCTGACATAAACGAATCCAGCCATATATGATGAAAGAATGGACGGACACTGCCAGTTGTTCATGTTGCCAGCGTAGTGGCGGAGAAGATAATCAGACGTGTTATTGCAGATGAATAACTATGTAAAAAATGATTTGCCCTTTTTCGCAATATTGCGGAACGAATAAGATTATTGGGAACGGAAATGTCCATTGGAGTCGTTATAGAAAGTAAATGTTTTCCGTCACTGAAATAGATCTAATCACTTCTGCTCGCCCAATTGTTTGTATGCGCCCACCTGTTAAGGTGGCGATCTCAAAAATTTATTTGCAAGAATCAAGCTCATTATTTTCAAAATTATTAGATTGAGCTAGAATATATATATATATATATATATGTATATATATCTGTTCATAGATTAACGAAACTGTATATAAATTAAAAGCATACGTCACATTATTGCTTGTATAGAATATTTTTGATTTATAAATTATGATGTTATAACATTATGTTCAAAAAATAAGGGGAACTATTTATTACATTATCAAAAATTTTTTTTTAATGCAGCCAGCGAGTTTTTTTCATTGGCTCCTGTAAAATCGGAAATAAATCAAATATTCAACGCAATACTGATTGATTCTCTGAACAATGCCACGATAATTGAAGACAATAAGCAGCGTGACTTTAATTTTTCCTTTGCTTTAATGCAGTTTTTCATCTTTGTTTCACTCTCAGCATAATATTCATATGACTGTTTGAGTTATTGTTGCTGGATCGTCAATGTATAAATCTATGCCGCGTTATCAATAGCTAGTCCTTTACAGGTCGCCATACTTCATCATCAGCATTTATTGCAAACACTTGTTTTTGCAAAAGAAATGGAGCTGCCTTGGAACGTAATATGAAGACATGCAAGACGATTGGTAATCGTTCTTTAAACTGAAAGAAACAATTCGAATTGATGTTCCAATTATATATCTACAGTATCTCTAATATTCAATCGACAATTACTGAATAGAAGATTTTTAGTTTTACTCATTTTGTTCAATACAGTTCTTGAGGTTAATTGTTTTCCCCAATGGCATTTGTCTTCACAACTGTTATTCTACAAATTTGTAAAGTTTTCATCACGATCATATGTTCTTGACATATTCAATACATTTGCATAAGCAATTTCATCATCATCATCATTATCACGACCATATGCTCTTGACATATTCAATGCATTTGCACAAGCAATTTCATTTTGTTGAATAGATTTTAATATAAATTTTTCTTTAAAAAAAAAAAAAAAAAAAAAAAAAAATTTATCCAATTGCTAATAATTAGAAAAATCGCCCTAACTAATAAGAATTTCCCTAACTTTTCGAACGCAATAGTACATATGTTTATGTAATTGAAAATAATATATCTTTTGCCACATTAACATATACAAATCTGAAGCAACGTTTATTAGTTTTCTTGTCGTGATCGTAATTTTATTAGAAAGTCAGACATGCTTAAATTGATTTAGATAATAATATATTGATTTATATAATATATATATATATATATATATGTGTGTGTGTGTGTGTGTGTGTTTGTGAGTGCGCGTGTATCAGAACACAGATCTTACGTTAGAAGTGTAACGGAAATGTTAGTGAATTGCATACGCGGAAGTCTTTCGCCATATTTCTGAAAGCAATGATTTGTTCAGTTAAAGCTCTTTAACTTTAGCAAAGAAAGATGGTAAACAATATATATGTATATTTATTTATAATACAAGCAAAAGCGATTTATTTACTTACGCATTTGGTTATATGCATGCATCGATATTCTCAAATGGTTCTTTGTTTCGGACTCTTTGTGCTTGACGAAGCATCTCACCACTACCAAGCGAGCAACCTCTTTTGTTTTTGTTAATAATACTTTGGTAAAATTTATGAGTTTTGCTTAGCAAGCCAATGGGCTTTCATTTTATGTGCGAAAGCATTCATTCATTTTGCACTACCGCCTTTAATTACAGTTCAATTCTCCCTGCTGCCCCTCGCTTCCCGTTTACCCTATCGCATTAATTTACAAATCAAAGAATTCATGGATTCGTGCACAAAGTGAAAATTCCCGGTAAACATTTTTTTATTTCTTTTATCACAATTTTCATAC